GTGAGGCTGGAGGAGGGCCTGAGAGAACCTGACTAATGCCATTTTAAGCCCCGGCCACCGTCTTAGATACTAAGTTCCCCATTCCCCAAAACCCAGGCTTTTCCCCGAAATCAAACCTCCCAGCCAGCCCATCAGAAGGTCACCTCACCCCTCTTGCTCCATACCACCCCAGACCCCCTTCCTAACCCCAGTCTTGCTTCATATTACCCCAAGCCCCCTCCTTCAGTTAGAAATAGGGAAATCCCCTACCCCTCAACCTGTGCCAATCCTGAGCCTCCTCGTACTTCCCCAAACCTGACCACCAATCACCCACACTTTCCCATGCGCCGACCTCCAATCAAAAATGTATCCCACCCCTCTTGCTTTCTGTACCCCATAAAAGTTTCCAACCCCCTGGGTTCGGGGCTCTCTCTCTCTCTTTCTACCTTGGTGTTTACCAGGAGAGAGTGTCTGGGCCCGTGCTTGCCAATAAAGCTCACCTTTCTGTTTTTACATCAGAGTGTGTCTTGGACTGTTCTGCTGGAAACTGTTTGGGGGGATTTCAGGCATAACAGGCCCAGCCATCTCTGCTTTTACAAGCTCCTTAAATGACTCTGAGGGGTACCTCTAGTTGAAAACCATTGAAGCAAAGAAATGATTCTGCCCGTTTTGGACATCAGGAAAGGGGGAGGTGGGTTGAGAAGAGGGTATGGGGAAGTGGGAAGACAAGTGCCAGACATCTTCCCAGTTAGAATCATGAAATCGCGTCAGGTAGGAGTGGCTCGTACCTCTGCTGTCCTTCTCAGTGAGAGCCAGGCTTGTCCCTGCGCTGCTAATTCCCAAGCACCTGCAACTTCAGGGATAAGGTCAGCCAGGAACTATGCACAGCTCCCCACTGAAGCTTTAGTTACTATTTGAGTGCTCAGGGCTTCCTCTTTGTGTGACATTCAGCTCTACAGTCTCTGAAATGAAACCCTTTTCTCTTGCTTTTGTATTGCTTGAGAGCCAGCTGCCCCCACAGCTTAACAGTGGGACTTCACTGGCTACTCAGGGTTTGACCTTCTGGGCTGCTGGCCCAGCCAGAATCTCGTCCTTGAAAGGAGGGCTCCCTGTGCCTCCTGTCAGGCGACTGAGGTTCTGTACCTGGCCAGAGTCCCAGTGGGGATGGAGACCTACAAACTCAAACGCCCTTTGCTTACTCCCTCTCTCTGTGCTTGTTCAGTCACTTTTGTTGGGTCCCTTTGAGTTCTCAGCCCCTGGTTCTCTCTGGAGGGCACCAGGGCAGGCACAGAGCACATCAGAACAGCCTGTGGCTGAATCCTGGCGGGGCTGCAGCATTCACTAAGCAGACAGCACCTTGGGCAACAGGCCCATTTGATTGTCAGGACAACATGGGTGGGTAGCTTTTGTCTTGGGGTTAAGCTGTGCCCTCATTCTGGCTGCCTGAGTTCCCCTACCCAGCTTTCTTTCCCAGACCCTTTCAACAGGCTCACGGCATCCTGGCGCCACCCTCCATTAACCAGTCTTCACATTGAGCAGCTTTGTCTCAGTCAGCAAAAACCAACTTGGCTTAGCTATCAAAGGAATAGATCAAGCCAATTCTCTCCTCAAAACCCTCCAACCTCCCTTGTCCCTCAAGGCCAAAATCCTCATGAGGGCCCACAAGGTCCTACATGGTCCCCCCTGTGTCCTCACTGACCCTACACGCGCTCCCTCACCTCCAGCCAGCACCTGGCCTTCTGGCTGTGCTCACACTCCCTGAGCAGGCTCCCAGCTCAGGCCCTCTGCACACTCTGTCCTGTGGCACTCTGGGCCCTGATTCCTGCACGCTTGCTCCCTCCCCTCATTCACTCTCTGCTCTGACACCCCCTTCTCTCCTCGGACAGGCACCCACCACCCTCCCGAACGTGGCAGCCCTCTACTCTGTCATTCTCTGCCTTTCCACCCAGTACCACCTTTCCTTCCAGCACCTGTCAATCTTTGGCACTATACAGACTCAGCGTTTTGTTGGTTGAGTGTCTACCCTCCCCACCAGAATCCTCCTGGAAGAGGGGCAGGCACGGAGTTGACACTCAATAAGATGTAAGATAAGCAAATGAATGACTTAGACCTAGACTCAAAGCCTGGCCCTGCCATTGTGGTATTTGCACAAGCCACCTGGTCACCCAAAGCCTTGGTCTACTTGACTGTAAAACAGGTGAGAATGAAGGAGGTGGGACATGGTGCCTGGGTCCAGCAGACTCCAGAAATGGTAGCCAGTGTCATCTTTCCATGCAGATCAGCCCATCCGAGTGTCTCCTTGCCTCGGTGCTCCTGAACACCCCACACACTTCCAGGGCATCTGTGATGGGCCAGGAAACCGGCAAGACACCCAAGGAAAAGTCAAGGAGCTGTGGGGAGAGACAGCCTCTCTCCTAAAGAAAGCCTCCACATTCACACTGGCCCAACCTGGCCTTCCCTCTACCCACTGGTGAGGCCCCTGAGTCTGCCTCGCCACCGCGAGCTCCCGCATCTGCGCCCTTCCTTCACCCGCCTCCAGCAGCCTCCTGCACTGTGCACTCGCCAGAGCAGGGCTTCACTAGGCTTCTCAGGGTGCCCCTGGGGCGGCCCCAAAAGTGCTAAAAGGAGGAAGAAGATCACAGCATTTCTTTGATGGCAGGTTGTAAGATACAGGGGCCCATTTCTGAAACTGTTAGGGAAGGAAATATTCCATCCATTTAAAGTCCAACTGTTTCCATTCTAATGTGAAAATACTTCCTTCAGCCTAGCACGCCTGGCATTTTTCAAAGACAGAGCCAGCAAATATATATGGCACCAAGCATGCTCTATGGGAGGAGGCCAAGCAAAGCCCGGGGGAAGACACAGAGGGCGGGACCCAATCTCTGTCCTCGAGGGCTCCCTGTGCCTGTGACTGGGGGATGGGGGTAATGTGGCAGGCAGTATGCCACTTGGGGTCAACATGATGACCCACAGGGATGCCTGTTGTGGGAACTCTGTGGTGTCTGCATTTCCTGGTTAGATGACAGGCTGAGTCACTTGCTCAGTCAGATGGCACTTGCCAGTTGACACAAGGAAGGGGGTACTGGTGCCTAGAAGACAAAGGACAAAATCTTGATCTAGTTAGCATATTTACCAACATGTTAATGACATAAAAGACGCAGGTAACAAATGGGTGAGGAAGCCAAAGGGAAAGAACAAGGCATGACGGGGGGCCTCTGCAGGCTGCGTGGCCAGCAAATGTTTCGTGTTGCCTTTGTGATGAAAAGGACAACCACGCTGGGAGAGGATGCATTTTGATATCACTTAGAAAGCAAAAACAAGCTGACTACAAGCTTAACAGGGGCCAACCGTGGCAGAGCTGCTGAAAAACACCACAGTAATGGGAGACTGGCTGTGTAAACATTTAGCTCTTTGGAACCAGAAAAAACAGTGGGTTCAAATCCCAGCTCTGCAGCTTACTAGCTGTGTGACCTTGGGTTACGCATGGCCCTCTCTGAGACCAAGACTCTAACTGAAATGGCATGGCAATGCCTCCTCTGAAGGGTTAGTTGGAGAATTAATTCTGAGAACTTGGCCGAGCCTGCATATAGAAGACACTTGATAAGCCATCATTGTTAGTAACTCACCTGCTATAGAAATGTAAACATTAATTTATTTTCAAAAGCTAAGAGGAATCCTTCTCTACCCTGGACTTTCCAGACCTATCTGAAGTATCATGTCCAGATCTGGGCTATATACTTAAATTAGAAAGTAACCAGGTCCCTAGTCCCCAGATGAGGGAATTGGACAGAGGCAGCCTCAGAAAAAAGGTCTAAGCACATAACATGTTTTGATGTTGTTCTTATTGTTCAGAGGTTCAAGGGACCAGCAGATTAAGAAGGGCACACTGTTTCTCTCTGGAGGGACGAGTGTTGTGTGCTGCTCCAAAGAGCCAAAGTAGTGATGAAAAGAAGTCAGTGGTGAAGGTCTCAGCTCAGAGTAAGAGGAAGCACAGTGTCCACAATGAAATGTGCTATCCAGAGAAGCAGTGGGCTCCCCATCACTGGATGTGTTTAAGTAGAAAGCGGATGACCATCTGTCAGATATGTTCTAGAAGGAATTTCTTAATCCAAGACACTTGCAACAAAACAAATTAGGTTTTTAAAGTTAACCACCTAACTTAAGCAGATTAACTTCCTTGTACCTCAATATCCTTATCTGTAAAATAGGAATAAAAATACCTGTCTCAAATAAGTACTGTAAGGATTAAGTTTGAGCTTGTCCAAAAGCACTTGGACCACAGTGGATTCAACCATAGTGGATTTATTCCCTGACCTGGGGCAAAAAGCAAGGCCCTGTGACTTCTAAGATATCTTCTGTGGGGCTAAGAAATGCCGTGTCCCCACAAGGAGACTCCTAGGAGGAAAAGCAGACCCCGCACACCAGGCTAAGAAAGGACCCGCTTCAGAGCACACTGGGCAGAGCAGGCAACCGGCTACTAAGGCAGCCATTGGGGCCAGATGGAGATCCCAGAAGTGAAGACACAGGATGCGGCACCTGCCAATCACTGCTGACATGCTCAGCACCCGCCGGGGCCTGTTGTATACTGTGGTCAGCTGGGGAGATCGGGCTCAGAGAACCTGTGCTGTACAGGGGAGCAAAAAGCAGGGGGCATGATTCCCTGAGACTGGAAAATTCAGCATCTCCACTCATGCAGAGAAAGATGTAAGAGGGCTTAGAGAGGGTGTTCGGTTTGTGAAGGGCCCTATCAGAGGGTGGGGAAATGTTACTTTGCATCTTCCCCAGGGACCGGAGAGGAAATGAGTGAGCTCAGTAGTGAAAGGATTAGCAGCGATGGAGGGAAGGATGCCCTTCCCGCTGCAGGTGTCCAGCGGAGGGAGGGTAACCCTAGATCCTCTCCCCGCAGGGCTTTCAGCCAGCAGAGGCCCCACAAGGAACTCACAGGGTCCCCTTTGTCTTGGGATGCACTGGCACCCTGTCATCTGCCCTGTCACACTGTTCCTTTTCCTTTCTTTCTCCAGGGATCTCAGAAAATATGGCCGTGCGCTCGATGCCAGACTCACAGGAAGAAAAGCTGCGATCACAACTGGAGGAAGAAAAGAAAAGGTGCCCTTCCTTTTTGCCACACAGTCTGACCCCAGCCTCTCAGGGCCTCAAGGATGACCTGCACCTGCCTAGGGCAGGGCAGGATAGAGCGACCAAGCCCCAGGCCTGATACTAGAGAGCAGCGTGTTCTAATTGAGTAGGAGGAGGGCCTGCCTTTGGGCAGGCAGATATGAAAAGCAGGACCCCAGGCAATGTTAAGTTATTTTATTATTGTTATTTTGAGAGATGGAGTCTCACTCTGATGCCCAGGTTGGAGTAAGGTGGGGGCTTATAGCTCAGACTCCAGGCCTGATCCGTCGGTGTGAGGTGAGGATGCAGCCAGGCCAACCCTGGCGGGGAAAGTGGCTGCTTGTCTACTGCTGCCACCTAGGGGAGTCAAGAAGTATGACTACGGTGGGCTTCCTCAGGCCCTCAGCATTAGCCCACTTTCCTCCTAAGTGCTAAGAACATTACACCCTCATGCAGCCATTTAGCGTCCCCAAAAGATTTTACTTGCAGAGTGAGGAGCCTCAAGCATAAACAGACACATTGCCATTACTGACACACAGCAGGGTCACAGAATCTCGCCAACACCCGGGTCAAGCTGCTGGGTGCCTTCATTCATTATGCATTCAACAAATGTATGCCTTCTCCTCCTGCTGGGGGCAGGTTGTGGAGACACTAAGCAAGTCGCCTTGCCTCAGGAGCTGAAGGCGTCATTGCAACACTCTCCTCCCACTGGCTTGGCATGCGCCTGCCCCTGCTCAAGCACACACCCAGAAGAACCAAGCTCATGGCACTGGTCTCCAGGTCACTCTGACAGCTGTGCACCGTGGGGGCTCCTTCCAGAATGCCCCGCTGCCCCGGCACGCATGCCACTGTTGCTCTGTGCCCTAAAGGTTAGGGCTCCTCGGTTGCCCACCTTCTCCCTCGCTCCATTTGCTTTCCTCAGTCTCTTTCCAACCCATTCTTCTTGTGTCCCTTATTCTACCTTCATCTTGTCCCCTTGGTCCACATTTTAAATCTCAGTAGCACCTCAGAAGGCAAATTGTCTCCTCAGCTTGGCTGGTGGACTGTTTGCTGTTTGACAGCATCTGGCTTATTTCAGCATCCCCCAAACCAATGTAGTCTGTGCATACTGAACCCATTAAGGTTGTGGCTTTGGATCCTCAGCGTGAAGGTGAACCAGCGCGACAGTGAGACAGTTAGGGCTGCGGTTCTCCTGCCAGACTGCCTGGGTTCAAATTTTGACTTCTTGCTTGCTAGCTCTGTGTTTCACCAGACCTCAGTTTCTAAACCTATAAAACAGAGATGATGATCAAAGCTTCTTCATAGGGTTGAAAAGAGGATTACATGAGTTTATCCATGTCAATGCCTAGAGCAATGCCTGCCCCTTAGTAAATGCTCAGTAGATGGCAGTTCTCATTCTTGGAGGAGGGCCTGTTCATCTGACATTCACGCCGCCATGGGCCTACTGGACAAAATGCCTCATTCTGCTGCTCCATGATGGACTCAAACCCTGGTGCTGTATCCTGGCCTTGGCAGGCTCCCATAGGGTCCCAGTCCCTGACACCAGCACAGCACTACCAGGCTTCTGAGGCAAAGGCCCTGTCCACTCACAGACCCCCAGCCCCATGCCCTGGCCAGGGCTTTCAGCAATACCCTGACTCGCCGGTTCCTCCATAGGTATAAAACAATGTTCACGCACCTGAAAGCCCTGAAGGTGGAGATTGAGCACTTGCAGCTGCTCATGGACAAAGCCAAGATGAAGCTCCAGAAAGAGTTTGAAGCCTGGTGGGCAGAGGAGGCCAGAAGCCTGCAGGTATGGTCTGGACAGCATCGGGGCAGCTGGGAGGGGTCACACAGCCCCTGTGGGGCATCAGGAGACAGAGGGGGGCTTGACCCATAGGCCCACGTGTTCTCACATGCTTCTTGTAGTGACAAGGACTATAAAAATCTGGGGAATAATTGTTTCCTTGCTCTCATGCCTAAAATAACCAACTGATGCCTGGAAAGGTGAGGGATGGAAGGTGTAGCTCCCCCAAACTAATGAGCCACCAGTGCTCAGTGTGATAACCTCCAGTGATAGCACATTCACACCGCTTACTGTTTTTCTTATTGCAAAGTCATATATAGGTGCATATTAGTTATAGAAATTTTTATTACACGGAAAAACAAAGAAATCATCATAACCCCTCTACTTAAATGCAATCAATATTAACATGTTGGATCATACTATATTTATTTCTATGCACATCCATCCATATATTTTTATAAAAAATAGAATTACATTTTTGTTCAAGTATTACAAAATGGCTTTTTTACTTAATTGTATAGTAAAATAATGTTATTTTACTATATTTTTTCATGTTATTATTCTACAGCTACTGTGCTAAAGGCTGTTACTATTTCATTGTATGGATATATTTGAATTGATTTGACCAATTTCCTATTGTTGAATGTTTGGGTTGTTTCTAGTATTTTCTTCAAAATGTATTTGTAGATAAATTTTTGTGTATTTCTGAGACAAATTCTTAGAACTTCTCTGTAATGTTGTAAAAGTTAAAATAACCTCTTAAAAAGTGTCAGTATAAAATCCCAAATCCAGTTGTCCTCAAGTAACTCCTAACGGTGGCACAATGGAAGTGATGAAATACGTGTAATCATACCACTTGTGTGGCTGGCAGAACCCTTAGTGATGATCTAGCAGGCTGATCCCTTCATTTTTAAGGACAAGGATACTGAGATCCAGAAAAGATATTTGCCCAAAGACAAAGCCAAGCAATAACCAGTGTGTGGCCAAGGCCATGTGACAGGACAACGCAGAACATTTGGACAAATTAAATACACAAGATTACAAAGAGAACAAATTAGATTAAAGTAGTTACCAAAATATTTTAAAAGCAAAGTTATGGCACAGTAATATGTATACCACTTATAAAATGAATGTATAAGCTGTAAGGGTGGACCCAGTATATACCATAATTTCAAAGTAACGATGAACACAATATACCTGCACCAACCATAATGTGATAAGATAATGTGCATGGTTTCTATTGGTGACAAAGCCACAAGTATCACTAATGTTACTGAGGTTTGTTGCCTACATTTATTATGGAAAGAAATACGAAATTTCAGGTAGAATCTAGGAGAAATAAAGATGTAACAGGTTCCTGTCCACATTCACAGCACCCCTGCATTCTGTCTGCGGACACCAGCTTGAGAGCCCGTCCCAAGCTCTCAGGGGGCGAGGCCATCAGCCGCAGCTGGCACCCGATGGAGTGTGGCTGCTGAACAGTAGACAAAGGTCATCCAGTGTGACTCAGGAAGTGTCCCGGCAGGGCTGATAGATTCAGACAGCATATTACTGACATGGACAGTGAAAGCCACAGTAGCTAACAGTGTCAACTCCATGTGTCCCCTGTCCCACAGGATGACACTGAAACAAAAGGGACCAGATGACAGCAACAGGGATGGTGGCACACCCTGTCACAGGGAGCCAGTTCCATGCTGCCCTAAGCAATTGCAAAGCCTGGGTCTGTTCCCTGTGTGGGCCGAGGCAGGAGGCCTCTAACCTCATCAGAACAAAGGAGGCAATGGAACTGGCTGGGACAGCCTCCCGGGGAGGGAGGGAGACAGGCAGGAAACAGCCTTGTGGCAACAACTCACAAGCTTCCTGTGCTCTCACGTTTGGGAAGGATGACAGGGCTTGCTTTCTATGATGGGAGCCCTGCTTGGGAGGCCTGGGTGGCCACACTCAAGCTTTCCAGGGTCCCACGGCAGAGCTGTGCCCCTGCGTGAAATGCTCCGTGGATTTCCCCAACTCTAGAGGGGAGTCTTTGGGACAAGGAGTAGCAAAACTAAAAAGGATTTCTGGAGACTTGTCAGATAACATTTTAAACATTTTTTTTCTAGCTATAAAAAGTAATACATGCTCAATTCAGAAAACTGAGAAAGTGCAGAAAAGCACAGAGAATAAATCAAACGTCCCCCACAATCTTCCCTCCAAGGGTCATATTTGTTGCCCATCATTATGGTCATTAGCTGTCAGGTCGGGTTTTTGCCTAAACTTTTATAGCTGACTTGTCCTGCTTAAGAATTACATCAGGGACATCTTCCCATATCATTAGAGTCAAGCTAACTCCTCCTTGGCCCAACAGGTAAAATCTCCAGCAATGAATTCATTGGATCACATGAAACCATTTTCCCAGACACCTGAATCCCAGCAGGATCAGTCCCAGCTTCTCTCTAACAAAAGGTAAGAAGAGAAAGTGCCCGCAGTGTGAGGGTACCGAGAAAAGCCTCTCTACCTCTTTCCACAGCCCCTTCCTTAGCCAGGAGGATGAATTACTTTTGCTATTTAATTAGCCACTCAGGCCAATGGCTTTCAAGCTTCTTTGAGCACTGAGCCCTTCAGTCCCTCACGTGACAGCCAGTTAACCTACTACCTTTAAACAAGAGGCGAGAAGTTCAATATCAAGCCCTGGTCCTGCCCCCTCAGGGGGAAGAAAGGGTTGGTGGGATGGGAGGGGGCATAGCATGGGAGAAGGAGGGGGATGTTGGTGGCAGGACAGGGGCTAGCCAGCTGGCTGAGATGCAAGGGAGCCCTTTGTCCTAGCAAGGATTCAGTAGAGACGTGGGCAGCCTCCCACAGGACCACATGAGGACAGCCAGAGCCAGCTTCCCTAAATGATGGGCTGATTCAGAAGGAACTCTGCCTCTCCACAGACCATGTTATTGTCTCATTCCAACCACATACCCCAGGTGGTAGAGCCAATGACATGTGCCTCCTGCCATCCTTCATCCCTCAGACTCAGTCCTCTCAGGCCAGAAGCCAGGGCAGCATCCCTGGGGCCTCTGCCTCCTCTACCAAGAGCAGTCCTTTGGGCTCGATGTGCAGCTGTAAGACAGACATCTTGGAGATGTAAGGCAGAGCTTTAGAAAAAAGGTACCAGATAGTATCTTGAATATGATGTGATGAGAATGGCACTTTACCTCTGGGGTCTTCCTTTCAAAGACCCATAATGCCCGTCAAAGCATGAGGAAAACATCAGACAGATCCCAACTGAGGGACATTCTACAAAATGCCTGGCCAGTACTCCTCAGACTGCAAAGGTCACCAAAAACAAGGCAAGTCAGAGACTCTGTCACGCCAAGAGGAGTGTGAGGACTAAATATAAAGCAGATAAAATGTGACTCAGCATCCTGGGTGGGATCCTAGACCAGAGAAAGATGTTAGGTAAAAACTACCAAAGTTCAAACACCACACTAACATAAGGTGACCAGATTTTAACATTGGTAAAGCGGGACACCATTGACTGGGGGGGGGGGGGGTTCTTAATTAAAAATTTGGTCTATATGGAGCAACAAAAATTTTCATAGAATGCAAAAATGGTATTGTAATATATATTTTTTAATTTCAACATAAGTACAATTTACAAATATAATACATTAAAAAGAAATTATGTCTAGGGCGGTGCCTGGGGCTCAAAGGAGTAGGGCTCAGGTCCACCTTTTCATTTCCAAATGAAGCTACATTAACCTCTTCATTCCCAAATGGAGTTATATTCACATTTTCAGCAGCCAGTATATTTCCTTCCTGTTGTCCTGCTGTTCCCTAGCTTCTTGTGCATTCTTTCCAAAAATCAGGACATTTTTAAAACACAGGGGATGCAGGACAAATTGTTAAAAATCAGGACTGTCCCACCAAAAGCAGGACATCTGGTCACCTTACACTAACATAAACATACACAATAGTGGAAACCAGGTATGGGTTGCAGGGGAACTCTCTGTACTGTATTTGCAACTTTTCTGTAAATCCAAAAGTATTCTTGGGAGGAGGGAAGGGGTTTGGGGGTCATGGTATATGGCACACCTCTTGGGAGCATAACACAATTATAGGAGGGACTCTACCTAATAAATGCAATCAGTATAATCTAATTCTTTGTACCCTCAATGAATCCCAAACAATAAATAATAATAATATTCTTTAATAAAAAGTCTTGGCTAGGCACCTGTAGCTCAGTGAGTAGAGTGCTGGCCACATACACTGAGGCTGGCGGGTTCAAGCCGGCCCGGGGCCAGCTAAATAACAATGACAACTGCAACCAAAAAATAGCTGGGTGTTGTGGCAGGTACCTGTAGTCCCAGATACTTGGGAGGCTGAGGCAAGAGAGTCTCTTAAGCCCAAGAGTTTGAGGTTGCTGTGAGCTGTGATGCCATAGCACTCTACCAATGGTGACACAGTCTCTATCTCAAAAAATCTTTAAAAAAGATTTGGGGGAAGCCAGTGAGTCCTCCACACCAGCTAGGACTTTCTCACATCCCCCAATCTGTCCCTCAGTGCCAGTGCTTCAGCCTGTATTCTAACTTTAGGAAACATCTCCTACGTGAGCTCCTAACGCCCAGGGTCAACAGCTAGCCTGGTTTGCTTTGTTTGGCTAGCTTGGCATTTTAATAATCAGTGTAGATTCATAAAAGAAAAAAATGGTTAAGTTGGATTTTGTTAAAATTTAAAACACTATTCTATAAAAGACAGTGTTAAAAGATGAAAAGACAAGCCACAGACTGGGAGGAAATGTTTGCAAAATATGTATCTATCTGATAAAGGTTTTGCATCAAAAGTATAAAAAGAACACTTAAAATTCAAGAGTAAGAAAATGATCTAATTAAAAAATGGGCAAAAGACCTGAACAGCCACTTTACCAAAGAAGAAATACAGACAGCAAATAAGTGCACATCACCAGGGCATTGCAAATTCAAACAGCAATGAGACGCCACTGCTCACCTCTGAATGGCTAGAATCCAAACCACTGCCGGCACCAAATAATGGTGGGGCAACAGGAACTGTTGTTCATTGCTGGTAGATGAGCAAAATGGCTCGGCCACTTTGGAAGACAGTTTGACGTCTTTTTATAAAAATACACGTAACTCAGCAATTGCCCTACTAGGGATTTGCCCAGCCGA